CTGTCTTCAAGCACCTTTTTCTGTCCGTGTTTGTGGAAGATGACCATATTTAGAAGTGTGAGGTGGACAGCTGCAAACATTACAGGAGAGCTGGGACCAGTGGCAATGTGACCGAAAACTTTACAAACTCACAAACTCAGGGAACCAATCAGCTTGCTGCCTCTTTAAAAAGTTTACAGTCAAACAAGTTGGACTGTGTAAGTTCATCTAGGCGACATTCAGGAGTTCAAACTGAGCATCAGAGGAGAGAAGAAAGGACCTCTAAGGGGGTCTGAATGTGGTGGTTGGTCCCAGAGGTCAGAGGAGAATGGGAAGGCTAGTTCTAGATGATAAACATAAAATAAATAATAAACAAATAAATAACAGCCAGATAATTAAACATGACGCGTAAAGATAGTTCATTTGAAAAGGCGATTAAAAACACAACGAATCAGAATACTTGATATAACATTAATGCTGTTTTACTGTTTAGAGCCCAGAGGAAACCACCGAGCTGCAGCTCTGAACTCTAAAAGCTGATTAATAACTCAGGACGGGATTTGCTGTCTGACTTAATCCATCACCTCTGTGGCTCTAGAGCACACAGACTCAGGCAAGAAAACGGGTCTCCAGAACAGCCCGTTCAGGCGTCTTATTCAGCAGCAGACCCGTAAAACAACCCTGATCCTGACCACATGTGAGCTACAGAACCCGGTCCGGCCCGTGTCCGTGGGATCTGACAGAACACACATCAGCTTTGTGTTTTGGGGGGTGTACTCATTTTTTGCTTAAACCAAGTGAATGAAAACTGAAGATTTTGTGGTTATTTTATGAACCCAGTTTCACGTTATGGAGCTAAAGACGTGTTAAACACAGCCTTGGGAAAATTCTGGGAATGGTTCTTTTGTTCACTGAGCTGCTGAATAAATGCATACTCTTTATAGAGGGTGTGCTCATTAATGCTGAGCAGCCCTGGGGGGCACTGACAGAGGCGAGGCCCTCAGGCGCCGCCGGTCCCTTCGACAACCAGAAGGCAAGGTGGGTTAGGTGTCTTGCCCAAGGACACAACAGCAGAACCAGGATCGAACCTGCAACCTGGACAACTCGCTCTACCTCCTGAGATCCTGCTGCCTCTAAAACAATATATGTATATAAATAAACTGAAATAGGGCTCTTCCCAGGTGCAGCCTCAGGTGATGAGCTGGATCAGAGGCAAGTGTGAATCGGAGTGTGTCATGCTCACTGTTGTGCTCTTGTTCCTCCTCCACGTTTCCCATGACCATGGCAGGAACACCGAA